TTATGTGTACAGCAAAATGCTACAATTCCCAACATCCTCAGGAAGCAACCCTGGGCACGGCGTGATGTGACAGTGTAAACTGTCCACGTTGTGTGTCCAGAACCAGGTCACATGATACGACGAGGTTGAGCACCACCAGAAACATCTTGGATTCATTGCAAAACTGATTGTGAATTGCTTTTTGGTCACTATGCATTGACAAACCTGTGACTGTTGCCAATTTTTTGTAACCCCTATATTCAGACCCCACTGGAGTTTTGACCCACCATTTAAAAAGCTGTGAATAAGAAACAGATGATGTTGGGCTGAGAGTGTGGCTCAGAGGTAGATTACTTACCTGCCATGCATAAGACTGTGAGTTGGACAACCAACCCCCCCCAAAAAAAAGAGAAGATCAGCTCACCCAGACTGTCACTTTCAACAGATACAGACAGGCTAGGTAAGAGACTGGACTGAGCCTCTGAGACAGTTCCTGATGAGATTTATAAACCTCGGACAAGATGGGCAGAGATGAAATGGAGATAAAACCTGCCCTAACTCCCTAGCATCAAGCCATGAGGATAGAATGAGGTGATGCACATGAAATTCCTTTGAAATGATTGTTTTTATTGTTAACTTGACACAACCCAGAGTCACCTGGGAAGAGGAACCCTCAGTTGTCCTGGTTGGTGACTGATGTGACAGGGCCAGTCCACTGTGGGTGGCACCATCCCTAGACAAGTCAGTCTTCCATATGTAAGAAAGCTGCCTGAGAGGAAGACCTGGAGGGGACTGGAGCTCCACAAGAAGAGCAACAGAAACAAAATAATCTGGCACAGGGGTCTTTTCTGAGACTGATGCTCCAACCCAAGGACCATGCATGGAGATAACCTAGAACCCCTGCTCAGGTGTAGCCCAGGGCAGCTAAGTCTCCAAGTGAGTTCCATAGTAAGGGGAACAGGAGCTATCTCTGACATGAACTCAGTGGCTGGCTCTTTGATCACCTATTCCTGAGGGGGAAGCAGCCTTACCAGGCTATATAGGAAGACAATACAGCCACTCCTGATGAGACTAGGGTCAGAGGAAAGGGAAGGAAGACCTCCCCTATCAGTGACTAGGGGAGGGGCATGGGAGAAGAAGAGGGAGGGGGGTGGGATAAGTAGGGTACCTGGGAGGGAGCTACAGCTGGGGTAGAAAATGAATAAATTGTAATAAAGCTATCTGAGCACTAGTGAACAAGCTGGTAAGCAGCATTCCCCCACGGTTTCTGCTTCAGTTCCTTCCTTGGGTCCCTGCCATGACTTCTCTCTTTACTGGATCATGACCTGGAAGTGTAAACCAAATCAACCTTTTTCTTGCTTTATAAAAGCATAAGAGAAGCAACTAGACCAATCACCAGGCAAACTACAAAATATTAAAATATGAGGCCCAATGATGTGTGCTCCTTTAAAGCACAAATTTTACTTCATGTTTTTGAGAAAATGTATTTTATTTAACTTGAGACTTTCATCAGAAAACCAAAAACCCAAATAAGCCACAGCTTGTTTCCAGTCTTCTCTGGAGCCTCCTCTGTTGATGCCGTGAAAAGACAGCAGTGGAATTTGCTGATGACTCTGCTTGGATATAGTGAGCTGCTGAGGACCTATGACTCCAGCCCTGAGGTATCTCAAGTCTACAATGGGACGCTCCCTGGTGACCGTTTCACCAAAAATTTCATCTTTGTGTCAGTGAACAGAAAACTAATTTTCAAAATAAACACCCTGTAAAAGCTAACAAGTTTCCTTACTTCCTTCACTTCCTGCCCTGTCCTCAAGAAAATGTTTTCAAGAAATCCACTGCGGGAGGGAATGAGAGCCAGCCACCTGGCTTTCTTGTCTCTGTAGACTTCTGCTAGACAGAGACACAACAGATAATGTGTAGCTTCAGGCCCTGAACTCTGCTTAACTTTGACTCTCTTCCTCTCCTGTGGTTAAATTTCTGTAAACTTGTACAACCACTTTGGAAATCAATCTAGCACATTCTCAGAAAAGTGGGAATAGCCATACCTCAGGACCCAGTTATACCATTCTTGGGCATATACTCAAAAGACGCTCCACCATACAACAAGGACATTTGTTCAACCATGTTCACATAAGCTCTATTCATAACAGCCAGATACTGGAAACAACTGAAGAATGGATAAAGAAACTGTAGTACATCTATACAATGGAATACTACTCAGCCATTAAAAATAAGGAAATCATGAAATTTGCAGGCAAATGGCTGGAACTAGAAAAGATCATCCTGAGTGAGGTACCCCAGACCCAGAAATACACACATGGTATATACTCACTTATAAGTGAATTTTAGTCCTATAGTACAGGATAGACATACTACAATGCACAGAAGATAAGCCCGATGGGCATCTAGGACTTCCTGTGGGCCTCTAGTCAGGGGAGTGGGGATAGCTCTGACATGGGCTATGTTGCCTGCTTTTTAATCACTTCCCCCTGATGGGACTTCCCTACCAGGCCACAGGGGAGGAAGAGGAACTCCGTCCTCATGGGAACAGATGATCTGGGGTGTCTGGGTAGCGGGGCTCCCTTATTCTGAAGAATAGGGGAGAGGGGATACAGGAGGAGGGTGGGACTGGGAGGAGATGAGGGAGGGGTACATGATCAAGATGAAAATTGAATTAATTAATGAAAAAAATTCTGAGACAGGAATTTTCTATTCATTCTATATAAGGAACACCATTGTTATACAGTGCACCGGGAGGACTCAGCTTCAGGAGGTGATTATACCCTTTCAATCTATTTTATGTTGTTGTTTGTTTGGGTTTTTTTAAAATAAGGGTACCACAGAAAACAGAAAAAAAAAAAAAACAATTCATCAAACAGCATTCTTGTGTACACACACACACAGCATATACCAGCACAGACACAAACACTAACACATAAATAAAAAAAAAATTAAAGGAAAACTGATGTTATTTCATATAGCTAGGAGTCAGTTGTACAAGTTAAAACTGAGCACTTTGCTACAGACTCATACTACAGAGGATTTGCCAAAAACACAACCACAGAGGCACTGATTGCAAAGATCTAAGTTTAAAAGTATAGAGAGCCTTCAAATTTATTTTTTAAATGCTTAATTATGTTCTTTTCTTTCAAGGACTGGGGAGTGATCCCAGGGAGCCTTGTCCCAGTGGCCTGCCAGTAAGATATTTCCCTAGCCCCTTGAATTCTTGAAGTTTTTATTAAATTTTGGCAAATATTCACGTGTGTGTACGTGAGACAGAAAGAGAGAGAGAGGAGACACTAAAGCGGCACTGGGAATATAGCTCAGAGGTAGAGCTCTTATCCGATATATAAAGCTCTGAGCTTAATCCTGAGAACTGAAAAAGAAAAAAAGATATAAAATGCTAGCAATTATCTCACTATAAGTTACATAGCGATGACCATTCTACAAGCCAACATTCTAAATTTGGGAACCTTTAGCTTTCATTAAACCGTGTCTAATTATAGCTGTGCAGGTTTGTTTCCGGACCTTGCACATTGCACAAAGATCTGAATAGCCATTTACTCCATCAATGGGACAGAAGGGGACTTAAGCTGCCCCGTCAGCTAATAAATAGCACAGCTGTGTGTAAGACAGATACCAAATGTTCTGCTGTGTCCCGGGATAGCTACTGTACCTTGACTTTCCTCAATACTCGACTCTTTCGATGGTTCCAGAAGATCACCAGGATGTGGCATGCAGAATCCATGGAAAGTGCCCAGGTCAAAGCATTCATGCAGCAGCTGCAAGTTCACACTGGAGCACACACTCATGAACCCCACGGCTTTGCCATCCACCTGGAACAGAGGAACACAGTGGCCTGTCAGACTTCAGGTGATGACCACTGGGACACTGTCACAGGCTCTTAGCGTGTGGCCTGCTGGTAGCCTGGGGGACAGTGTGAGTTACTTAAGGGTAGAAAAGTCTTCAAGCAGCTCCGGCGTCCAATACAATGCGTGGAATAAGCAACATGTTCAAAGGCATGTCCAACAAGAGACTACTGCGGATGATCTTAAAGACTGGGAAGTAACTTAAGGGAGGGGCCAGAGTGTTCTTAAGGACGCACTACTGGAATGCTACCCTTGAACTCTTTCTGAGCCACTCCTCACCTGCACCCTCACCCTCCAGCACATATTACACTCCGCTAGGCAGTGGGGTTGGTGTTTGGTTCTGTTGCATGTAGTGTGTGTGTGTGTGTGTGTGTGTGTGTGTGTGTGTGTGTGTATGTGTAGGGGGCTGGTGGGTTTGTTTACTTGCTTTTGTTTTTATTCATTCCTAAGCCCTGATCTTCCAGGCACTCTGCTCCACCCTGCCCTTCCCCACACACCATGCACAGCTCTTAGTAAAGTGGGCTGTTCCAGAACCCATCAGATGAACCCCAACTTAGAGAACAGTCACAAATTCGGGGCTCCTTCACAGGGAGAAACTCTTCTCTACCTCTTGAATTCACTTATTCAACATTTGGTTGGCCCGAGGGGGGGAGAAGTGCAGAAAGGTTGCTTGGTGGAAAACAGCTCAGTGAGTCTGCACTGATCTGCAGACAAATCAGTCTCAGCACACTGCGACACCGGGTACTGAAGCTCTGGTCATCCTTGCTGTGATTTTAATCTACGAGTCTTGAAATCTTTGAGGAGGAACATAGGCTCCCGGGAAGCTGAGCGAGTGACTGACTGGCATAGCCATTCTATTCAGAATGTACACTCACCAGCACCGTGCATTACCCACTCCCAAAAAGTCAGCACCTCCCCACGAATGCTAGACCCTTTAACATCCTAAAACAGGGAAGCAAGTGGCAAGGATGTTTTGATGATGAAGGAAAAGACAGACAGCAAACTATTTCTCCAAGTCACCTCTGTGTGCTTGAAAAACAAAGGTGAGATGCCCTTTATTTTCAAGAAGTCTTTTTTTTTTTTTTACTGAATTTTCCTTGCACATTCTTTTCGTTACTGGACCCCTCCCCGAATGATACCTGCTATAAAAGCCTGATTTACACAGCTGTTATATAAAGCCACTGACACTTTAATGAAAGTCCAAAATAAACATTTTAATTTTTTTCCCAAATAACAAGTAATTGTTTGTCTTGTTTGCGCTCCTGAACAAAGGCTTCGGAGCTCCAGTTGTCTGGCTTCTCTATAATTTCAGGCCCAAGACCCAGCAGACGCTGATTAACCAATCCATCTACCATATGTGCAGAAAGAGACGGCCAGCCTCACTCCCGGCAGGGAAAATTGGCATCCATCTTGGTTCACATGGAGATGTCCTTCTAATCTACAGCAGTGCTGGCGCAGCAAAACTTCCATGGCCTGAAATACCTTTTGCTGGCTTTGTGGCGAGCCGCATGTGCATGATAAGAATGTATTATTTATAAGACCGCGGTTAGTAATGAGCTATTACACTAATGGCTTATTGTGTTGGGGATTTGATTTCAAATGGCATGGATCACACATTCTGATGAAAATGAGAAAAACATGTTTTGCCATTAGGAACAGAGATTTAGCATCCTCCAATTCCACAACCTGTTATAGTCCCATCACTCGGCTAGGGTTGTAACAACTTACAAACGCCCACAATCAGAGATGGCAGCCGAGCAAGGACGGAGAGTGGACAGGCCTGCTCTGTTCTTTGGATTTCTTTCAAATGACTGCCTTGAGGTACACTGTTCGGAAATATCCATCTGTGGGACTAGCCGTGGCATGTTGGTGTGCGTGTCCCTCCCACAGGGCAAAGGCACTGGTTGCTGTCATTGTTCGGCGGACAGAGCAGTTTCTTGCTATCCAAGTCTTCTCACGCTAGCACACAAAACTAGAGGCTTTGCTCTTCTTGTCGATCCTGTGAGTCTACGTGATGCCACAGAGAGGGCTTGGGCCGCTGGAAAGCCATCCGTGAGCTTGCCCTGCCTTCACAGGTAGGTCTAGCTCGAAGATATGTGTGTGCTTCAACATTGGTAACGCTACCCTCAAGGCCACAGTCAGGCATCCCTTTTGGGTGACCACATTTCACACTGAGGGTTTTTGTCCTCGTTGTGACCGTTCCTGGCTTCCATCCCCTTCTCTTAGTGCCAAGGGCACGGCTAACCTGGCAGGCTCTCTCTTGCCTGCAGGTCAGTGGTGCTTTCTCGGACCACTGCTGCCTGTGCCCTGGATGATGCCAAAACAGACGCTCTGCCCATCTGTCTCTAGGAGCCACCTTGGCCTCCAACTGCCCTTCCTTGAAATCTGAGCTTGGAGTAAACACCAGATGTCAAAATACAGTTATGACAAGGAACCTGCAGCAAAGCCACAGTTCAAAACTCCTCCACAGTAGCAAATAGGACAAAGAAAGTCCTCACCGCCAACAGCTCTTTAACAAGCCAACAGTCTTTTTCCTAACTCAAGCCAAGCTCTCAAGAAGTCTACACGAACAGCCTAAACCTGTCCTGCCCTGGGCTGGGAAGAGGCACATTTGATGCGCTTTGTCCTGTTATTTCTTGTCACTTGTGGCGGCCCCAGGCATGGTATGTTGGCAAATGCCGATTCATTGTTGGGAAGAAATGCCCAGATGTGTAGTGCTTGCCAACGGTAAAGTACTGTCAATGTGGTAGTTTCAAGTTGCCCATTGATGTCATAATATGGAGTAGGAAAGTTGGGAAGAGATGTGTGGTTGCATGCTAGTAACTACTATGTCCACTAAATAAGATCACAGACAAAATCCCAAGGGCTATAGAATGCTAAAAGAAAGCAATTGCCGTCCTTAAACACTCTTTACTATAGCTCCTTACACTGCAGCTTTATACAAGTGGCCTTTTTCGTTTGTTTTTGGAGGCAGGGTCACATGTCGTCTAGACTGGCCTTGAACTGGCTATGTACTGTGGGTGACCTTGAACCTTTGATCCTCCTGTCTTTGCCCCCCAAGTGCTTGGGATTACAGAATGCCACCATTCTGAGCTCATATGGCAGATATATATGGGCTTATACGGTTTATATGCCCACTGACCTACCTCCCCACCTGTATAAGGTTCTGATGATGGCCATGTTCACCAATAGCTTGCAAAGTTCCTAAGGATTTCACAACCGGCCCTCTCAAGCTAGACCAAGTTGGCTCCAACATACCTTTGCCCCAGGACCACTAAGGAGACATGTCCAGGATGGCAGGTAGGAGGTGGTGGTGGGAGGGTAGGACCAATATTTAACATGAACCCTGAAAGGCCTCAGCCACAAGATGTGGCTCTGCCAGGTTCCTGTTCCCAGCCAGGCCCTGTCTCTGCCCTTGCCCTTGACTGAGATCTATGGTCTCCTCTCTCTAGAGAATTAAGGCTTCTGGTGTTTGAGGCAGCTTTGGAGAAGACTGGGCTAGACTCCCTTACCTCCTTAGGGACACCAACCTCACAGGGTCAGCCCTGCCATTTCCAACCTGTGGCTTTGTTTGCTTCAATGTTCACACATGGAAAGTAAAAGAGATAGACCATGAAAAAGAACAAGGCAGAGGTCACCACAGCTGCTGTAGATCCTTCCTCAAGTGACTTGGGGTGGCACTAATGCCCTTAATAAAGTCAGAGAACTAAAAAACTTCGATAAGCAAAGGCTGGATTAAACAGGACACAGATTGGACAGGAAGATCAGAAGTCCTAATTCAGGCTCTAAATGATTTGTTCCCTGCAGTTTTCAATTGTTGTGTAAAAATCCCGTTTTTCAAAATGGTGCTGCTTAGGCCCAAATGCTTCCTGACCCTTCCTTTTGTCATTAGCCTAGAGCTAGAGACTGACTGAGAACATGTGAAAGCAAAAGTCTTTGAAGGACAAGTCAAAAATCTAAACATAAAAAAATTAAATTATAATCTTTTCAATGTAATTTCTCAGATTTTATTTTTGGGGGCCAGTTCCCAACTTCAGAAATGCATGCCCATATGTGTCTCATTCCACCTTCACCAGAGTATTTCATTATCAAGTGGGTGAAGAGAGCCAGTAACCAGACCACACACCAAAAATCATGTGGGAAGCTTTAAACATTTAGTGATGCAGACAGAGACACCACACACCTATACTCTGAACTACCTGGTAAACCGAGGCAGGAGACTGGCTTATGCCTAGGAGTTGGGAGAGCATCTTGGGAAATGATCACATCTGGATGTTTTGCTGCTGAGTTCAGCCTTTAACAGCTGAGCCATCTCTCCAGCCCCAGATCCCATCTCACATAAAACACACACACTTACTAAAACAAACAAACAAACAAACAAACTGGGTCCTTCCCTCAAAGGTTGGATTGAATTGGTCCAAGTTTTTCTTGGACACCAGAATTTTTAAAAATTGGTATAATTCATCACTACACACTAACTTTTCACAAACAATACAATTCAGTGGTTTTTAGTACGCCATAAAATTGTGTAGCTACTATGTAATCCATAGATTTTATACCCACCCAAAGAAAACCCAGCCTTTCCCGTCCGTAGCTCCTAACTTCTTGTGTGGAGAGCCACATAAGACTTGCCTAATCTGGGCTTTCATATATATATATATATAATATTATATAATAACATATATATGTTATTATATAATATGTGTATGTCTGACTTCTTTATGGAATGTTTTCAAATGCATTGTGACATATGTCACTGCTACATTGCCTTTTTATTTCCTAATAATATTCTACTTAACAGTAATATACCATATTTTGTTCAGCCATTCATCAGCAGATATACATTCGGGTTGTTTTCATCTTTGGGATATTATAAATAATTTTGCTGTGAGTGCCTTCGTGGAAATGTGTTCCCTACACCCTTCTTAGCACTGGTCACTTGCTAGCTAGGGATCCTCCATTTGGGTTAAACAAGTCCAGAAACTTAAGTAATTTGGTTTCCACACAGCAACTTGTTTCTGTAGATTCTTGTCCTCCTCCTTCCAAGGACCCCACTCACCTGACAATTCTTTAACTCTTATCACTACCTGGATACTCCAACAAAATGGCCAACTTCAGGTCAAAAAGAGGAACTTTTCAATGTCCTCCCCACTCATCCCCACTCTGAAATCTAAAAGAAGGGATCCCTGTATGCTACCATGGACCTGACCTCTCCCCAGAGCCCCCACCATGTTGCTATCTGTCTGTCTGTCTGACTATGACATTAATAACTTTTCTAATAAATCTCTTGTCACAAAGGACAGTCCACCTCAGAATGTCCTTGAATTTTAAAGCAAAGCTTTCATTATTTTCCTATTGTTGTTGTTATTATAATTATTATTGATGTTATTGCTACCACCATCTTACTAGGAGTAAAAATACCTCACTGCAGTTTTTGTTGTTGTTGAAACAGAGTAGCCTGCCTAGACTGGTTTTGTACTTGCGACCCTCCTGCCTCAGTCTTCTGTGTAAAAGGATTGTGGGTGTGCACCATCATGGCTGGCTTCACTGTGCTTTTGACTTACATTTCCCAAGTGACTAACGAAACAGACATCTTAAGATAGCGAATGACCTCTTTTCATGCACCCGCTGATGACTTCTGTGTCTTTTTTGGGAGGGATGTCAATCAAATTCTTTGCCCAAGTCTAATTTAGAGTATCTGTCTCTTATTTATCATTGTAAGAACTGTGATGCTGACATGAAGTTGGCACAAGGTCTGAATGCCCCGGGAGAGTCTCACAGTCACCAAGTCTGTGAAGCCTGATGAGGAAGCAAGCCTCAAACTGCTCATCTTATTACTGAGAAGATTTGATTGCAAGCTTCAAGAAAAGTAATGTTCTTCAAGAGGTCTCACAGTTTCAACAAATGAGAAATGAATGTATGAAGACTGAATCCCAAAAAATATCGCCCAGAAACAAAACTGCAAATTCCATTCTTTTAATGCTTTTCAATCAACTGGCACAAAAATCTCTTTTTAACACCAAACTCAAATATCTATTTGAAAACAAAAATATAATTATGATTCTAATAATGAACAGGATGATGGGTGGGGATCCAAAGGCTCTATTCATTCCTGTTTGCTAATTGTTATTTTTAAGGAGGTTTTAAATATTTTTTATTTACTGTAGCATGTGTATGTGTGTGTATGTGTGTGAGAGAGGGAGGTGGGATGCATTTTCCAAGATGCACATACAGAGCTCAAAGAACAGCTTTGTGGAGCAGGTTCTCTCCGTCCACCTTCGCATGGATTTCTGGGATTCAACTCGGGTCGCTAGACCTAGGGGCAAGTGTCCTTATCCTCTAAGCCACCTCACGGGCCCATGCAAATGATAAGCCCAGAAATTCATTCAGGTTCTTCCTCATCATTTCTCCTCCCTGGCCAACCAGCCCTCACTATAAGTTGAGCTGTGCAGTTATAGTGGGTGCAAGATCTACCCTAGATGTGGGTGACACTACACCAGGGACAACGGGAAAAATGTCCAATCCCTTAATATAAAATGCAAGTCCCTCTTGCAGCAACATCACCCTGCACTGAAAGGGAGGCAGCCCCCGCCTCCCTGGACCAGCTCTGCTAGGTCAGACATGCCTGTGTGGGGTCCGGTCACCAGGGCTTCCTCAGCCCAAGGAGGACTTCCCGGCAAGCTCAAGCTTGAGGACCATTGCTTCCAGACACTTTTCTTATACTGCCGTCCTGGGCCTCCATCCTGTCACCATATACTCCCTAAACATCCGTCCTAGAAAGCACTAACCAAAGCAACTTGGGGGAGTTGGTAGAAATGGTTGATCTGGCTGATAGGTTACAATCACAGAGGGGAGCTCAGTCAGACACTGAAGCAGAGACCATGGTGGAATGATGCTTACTGGATTGTCCTTCTGCTTTGCTTTTTAGATAACCCAGGACCACCTGTCCAGGGGTGACATCACCACAGTGGAATGGGCCCTCTCACATCAATCACCAACCAAGAAAAAGACCCACAGACATAGCCATAGGCCAATCTAATGGAGACAATTCCTCAATTAAGTTTCCTTCTTCCCAGATAACTCCAGTTTGGGTTTACGTCAAGTTGATAAAAACCAAACCCACATAGTCTCTCATATACCAAAGTCTCAATTACAGCCAGTTTCTCCCTACCACAGGAGACTCCATCAATACCCTACTTCAGCAGGCAGGTAGCTGAGGTGTGCAGGCAAGGGAGGTGTGTCCTTGTGACTGTCTCCAGAGGTGAGGACAGAGTGAGGAGGGGTTATAAGATTCCTGGGTGTGCTCACACTAGCTACCCTGGGCCTCCAGTTGGGCTGATCATACTAAGGATAGCTGGCTATCTCTCTCCTCAGTTTCTTGAGAAACATGGCCCTTGGGGTTTCCCAGTTCCAAATCAAAGGATGTGGGTTCATCTTTTGTTCCCCAAAGACCAGGCCTACACTCACTTACTTAGAAAAACTAGAAACTCCAATTGTTTGTAAGTTTTAGACTTCTCACTAAAATTCAACTAAATTTAATAATATATAGTATGGATCAAATCATGAGGGAACATTGGCAAATGTAAATTGAAAGACTCTACAAAATAACTGTCCTGTGTTGGTTGAAAACATCACTGTTTTGGAAAAAATAATGAGGGGTTAGGGAGCTGTTTCCAATTTTAAAAGACTGAAGACAGGACACTGAACACAACAAATGATCTGGACTTCTTTTCCGTAAAAAAACACTGTTGGAACAACCAATGAAGTGTGATTACAGTCTGCGGATGAGAGTGGGATTGCTAGTCTTTGGTCACCGTACTGTAGTTAAAAGTTACACAGGGAAATACCCTGGTTTTTAGAAAAGAAACAGGTATTTGACCTGAGTGAAGGATTATAGCTGCAACTTACTTTCATATGATTCTAGGTAAATATATAGACAAGTCCATGGAGGGATGGAGACAGAGAGAGGATAAAAGGGAAAGAGAGACAGATAAAAAACAGATAGGGTAGATGATAGATAGATAGATAGATAGATAGATAGATAGATAGATAGATAGATAG